CGCAGACACAAGATGAGACGCCGTGTCCACGCTACAGATGTTTGCATTTTTGGATACCCTCGCGTAAGTGTGGAATTAGGGAGCCGGATGCACCACGGCCCTACCTCCTTCCGTAAAAGTGTTGTATTAGCCCTGTCTGATGCATGGGATGGATCGACTCCAAATAAGGTGCTTTACCCGCCCTTATTTGCGACATTTCCAAGCTGCCGTCCGGGCGACACGGTCGTGACCAACGGAATTAATCACGAGGGAAACCACCCTTGTCCGCCAGCTCGCCACCCCGGGTCCTAGTTGGTTCAGTATTAAAGGGATTAGGCTCTGCCAAAGACCGCTTTTACGGGCGAATACGTGGGCTGGGCGAGCTTTGACGCCAGCCCACCGGAAATTGTGCAACTCCAGCGGACCGGCCGGCCGAGCCAGGCCCAACTCAGCAGCCAGTCGGGCCTTTGACCGACGTATAGCTTTGCAGCCACTGGCTGTCCCGTCGTGATGTTCCGTCGACAAGTGGCACAATTCTTTAAACGCGGTGCACTAGTATTTTCAAAGCATTTTAAATGTAAAGCGCTTGGCAATGCAGCGTATTATGCAATGCTGCAAGGTTGCCACGAGGTCGATTATCCTACACTTCACGTTGGAGCATAATGTACCAGGTACAAAGTACTACTAGATCACAAAATGTTCGGCGTGGAGGAGCGTCAGCCATTGATCGGAAGGCCAGCAATGCCATCTCTTCGGAGGCCGATCATGAAAGCAAGGCACCGTGGCCTAACTTGAGAGAGATTCGGTCGTGAAAGCGGCATAGGCGCGTGCTTTTGTTCATCACGATCAACCCAACAATATTTGCGTAGTTGGCAATGATGTGGTTACAATTCCCCAAAGGTGTAAGTTGTAGCAATTCCATCGATTGCATCGATTGAAATTGATAGAATAGGCCAGACTTACAAACCGGACTTCAAGCCATGTTGTACGTGAATCTATGCTCTGACGCGACCACCAGCGTGCCTCTGCCTGCCAAAGCTTTGAGAAAAAGATATCCCAGGGCAATTATAAGTCCAGTTTCATATGGGTAACTAAAGGCGTCTGGCTATACCCGATGTTGGATGCTACCTACACGCTGAAAACATTCGCGTTTGTAATTATCTCGCCAGTGCCGCAAAACGCCGCAAAATGTGCCTGACTGTTGAGAAACAGAGAGCGCGAGTGAGAGAAACAGAGGAGAGAGAGAGAAAGAAAAGAGAGAGAGAGAGAGAGAGAGAGAGAGAGAGAGCAGAGAGCGAGGGAGAGATATAGAGATATCCGCTCTCTCTCTCTCGTCTATAGCGATACTATCGCGTCTCTCTCTCTCGCTCGCTCTCTCTACTCTCGCTCGCTCTCTCTCTCTCTCTCTCTCTCCTCTCGCTCTCTCTCTCCTCTCTCTCTCTCGCTCTGTCTACAGAGAGCATGAAGAAACTTGCGGCAACTCCCCTGTTTGTTCTGCTGTTTTTTTTTTGCCTGGAGTTTTCACTTTATGTTTGATAATTGCGCAAACTCTTGCACTCAACATGAGCAAATTGCATGGGAGCACCGCTAATAGAACTTTGACAATAGCATTATTGTCCGCAAAATCGCAGCCGAAGATGAGGTACAACAATGTCAATCTTTCCAATGGTCTAGCAATGTTTTGGGTGAACATATTATTTTTAAATCACGGTGTTGTGCTCATTTTTAAGCGTAAACAGGCGAAGACATCTTGGCACGTCAACTCGCTCTTTTTACTCTAAAACTCGATGCTTATCATCTGCCGTCGTATGCTGCGTACAACACGATTTAAAAAATGCTACCACAATGAGGCTTAACACACATTCAGGTGGGGGTCACTTTGACCCCCCCCCCACCTGAATGTTTTTCCAGAATAATTTCCGAAGGACGCGGCGTAGCCACACCAATAGACAACTGAATAGCGGATTTTGCGTTTTTACAAATTTTGGTGTACATTGTAAGGTCTCTGACCTACGGCAGGTCAGAGTCATGCCATGGATTCAGCGAAAGCTATTTCAAAGGAATCGTCCAACCTAATGCAACAATGGAATGTTAGAGGAAGCCATACGTCTCTAAGATAGTTTCTTAAGTAACACAACATTTGAATGAACAAACTCCGTTGACTTAAGGTCAGATATGATGGTCAGACTAAGGTCAAAACAATTTGTTTTTTAATCTAGAGCTTGCTGTATGGGATAGTTCTGGGGCTCATTTCGAATTCATCGATAACAGGAAGCGCATGGCAATCTTCCATAGACCCCTTAAACGTCAGAACTGGCCACTGACCTAAAATGACTCAGGTAAACATTTTGCCTTTAAGAACATACTGCCTAGCGTAATCTTTGTTGCTTATTCAAATGCAAAACTCAAAGCAGTCTTGCATGAGTTTGGTCACCATGGCCCGCGAAAGGTCAAACGGGGTCACTGACCGTAAATGGGCACCAGCAGCCTCTAACAGGTACCAATGTTCTGAGGGCACTTTGACATCAATCTTGAGCCTGACCTTGTTTGACCTTATTTGACCCGGAGATCATGACTAAAAAAAACAAATTTTGACACAAGTGTGTACACATGCAGACCAACACATCCTGTAAATAAGGTGTTTCTAACTTCCTCAGTTGCTTAGATCTCAGTAGGGTCAAAATGAGTCCATTCTCAAGCGAGGGGTATTCAACCGACCACACGGGCGCATGTTAAGCCAAAAAACAGCTGCGTTTGACAATTGCATTAACAACGGCGCCAAAGAAGCGGTGAATGAATCGACACGTGTGGTAATGACTTCATTTCGGAAAAAAATTAATAATTTTGATGCTCCCTATTTAAGCACGCGAGCGTGCGTTCACAAATTAGATGCAATTGTCAACAATGTGCGAGTTCCCTGTTGAAATATCTCAAAGGGGTTGAATACATGAACATTTTGCCACCATGAGTCCATGTGTAGACAGCCTGAGACTGCAACCTCTTGCTAGAAACCACACAACTTGTGATATTCGATCACAAAACGGTCAGCAGGCTTTGCAGGACTTATTTCTGCCGGGGCGGCTGAATATTTCACTCGCATCCGTCTATTGCTAAAAACTAGCCTTGTTCTTGTGGCGCACAATCGTGAAGCCAAGGTCTGGAAATCGGGTCAGCGCCCAGAAATCTCATTAGGGGTGACGGGTGCAACTGCAGCCAGCGCCCGCGCGCAGCGGGAAGCCCAACCACGGCAAGGCCAACCGACCCC